GATGGTACATGCCTGTAATCCCAGCTACTCCGGAGGCTGAGGTGGGAGGACTGCTTGAGTGTGGTAGGCGGAGGTAGCAGTGAGCCGAGATTGTGCCATTGCACTCCAGCCTGGGCAACAGAGTGAGACCCTGTCCAAAAAAAAAGAAGTCAATATGGGAGGTGAAAGGGTCGGGAGAGCAGAGCCTCAGGAGGAGGGGCCAGGCATGGGGAGAGGGGTGATCTCGCCCCACAGTGACCTTGGATTGGGCCCTCTCTCTGGTGGGCTGGCTGTGCTCACGCTGGTAGGCCTTGGGCCAAGGCCAGCCCCCCCTCACGCTCCTATCCCATCTCCCAGACACCGAGGGCTGTGACCGCGGCTGGCACAAGTTCCAGGGCCACTGTTACCGCTATTTTGCCCACCGGAGGGCGTGGGAAGATGCCGAGAGGGACTGCCGCCGCCGCTCCGGCCACCTGACCAGCGTCCACTCACCAGAGGAGCACAGCTTCATTAATAGTAGGGGCTCTGGGGGAGGGGGCCACCTGCCTGGAGGGTGGGCAGGGGTGGCACTTGTAGCCCTTTTGCCAGGGCATCCCTTCCCTGGTTTTCAAGACGTCACCTTTCCAAAGCTGTGTTGATTAATGCAAGCGCTGACTGCTTCTTAATGCATGAAATCTATCAATTCACTTGTTAATTCATACATTCACTTCATTCATTCATTCATTCATTCATTCACCAAATATTTACTGAGCACCTGCTGTGTGCCAGGCACCATTCCAGGAACACTGACACAGCATAGCAGTGATCAATGCTGACTTTGCTCTGTCCTCAGGGAGTGACCGTTTCTTGGGGAGGATATAGACAAACAAGTAAATATCTAAGTGAATAAGTCTATACTGTAATTCAACGGATCCTATGTGTGCTGATAACAAAACAGGGCCAGGAGATGGAGGGTGATGGGGGAAGTACCTGTGATGTGTTGGATGAAATAAGGAATGAGCCTTGCAAAGACCTAGGAGAGAGACAAGTGTTGCATTCATGTAATCTGGGACTTATTGATTTATTCATTATCCCTCTGCCTTTTGCTCATCCATCCATTTATTCTGTTTATTCTGTTTGCCGCCATCCCATCCCTCGTTGACTCCTTCGTTTCTTCCTTCCCTGGTTCGCTTGTTTCTTTTTCCTTGACGTATCCCACCGGGCCACTCCCTCCTGAGTGACTGGCTTGCGCCTTCTCATCTGTCTGCCCATCCAGCGCCCACTGGTGTCTCCTGTCCCCTACTTCTCATTTCTGCAAAGATGTGACAGTGCCTGGGTTTATTCCTGCTTCTCCTGGCCACAAACCCTGGCATAGCCTGGGCCTAATTCCGGTTCTTCCCATGCCTCACCCCTCTAAAAGAGGGTAGCCAGAGTCCTTGCTTTCGGAGGGTGGGGTGAGGACGCACCTGCAGCCTACACTGAAGCTGGGAGAGGGGTTCATGCCTGCCCCCCGACCCTCCTCCTCCTTGCTCTCCCTCCTACCTCCCCATCTTCCCTACCACTTCTTCCCCTCCTCCTTCCACTCCTCTTCCTCCCTCCTCCTCCCATCCTTTCTCCTCCTCCCTCTTAATCCTCCCCTTCTCCCTCCCCCTCCTCCTCCTTCCACTCATCTTCCACCTCCTTTCGCCTCTTCATCCTCCCTACCCTTCTCCCTCTCCTCCTCCCATTCCTCCTCCTCCTCTCTCCTCTCCTCCCCCTTCCCTCCCCTCCTCCTTCCACTCATCTTCTTCCTTCTTTCTCCTCCTCATCCTGCCTCCTCCTCCTCCCATTCGTGTCCTCCTCCCTTATGCTCCTCCCCAGGCCTCCTCCCTTCTACTCCTCCTCCTTCCCTTTCCTCCCCCTTCCCTCTTGCTCTTCCTCTTCCCTTCCACTCCTCCTCCTTTCTCCTCCCCATCCTCCCTCCCACTCCTCTCCCTCCTCCCTCCAACTCTTCCCCTCCTCCTTCCATTCATCTTTCTCCTCCTTTCTCCTTCCTTTCTTCCTCCCTCTTCTCTCCCTCCTCCCTCCCATTCCTCTGCCTCCTCTTTCCACTCATCTTCCTCCTCCTTTCTCTTCCCCATCCTTCCTCTCACTCCTCCCCCTCCCTCTTCCACTGATCTTTCTCCTCCTTTCTCTTCTCCCTCCTCCTTTCATTCCTCCCCTCCTCCCTCCTGCTCCTCCTCCTCCCTTCCATTCCTCCTCCCTCCTCCCCATCCTTCTTCCTACTCCTGCCCCTCCTCCCTTTCACTCCTCCTCCTTTCTCCTCTCCCTCCTCCCCCTCTTCTCTCTCCTTCTCCCTCTCCCCACTTCCCTTCTCCAGCTCTTACAGAGGCTGGAGGAGGGCACCTGTGTCCTCCTTAACGTCTGTAAACTTCACTTCTATCTCCTTCGCTCTCTACCTCAACCTCCAGCCCACCTCCAGGCTGAGGAAGGGACTGGGTCTTCCCCTCCCACACATACCTCACCCGGCCCCCCGCCCATAGAGAGGCTGAGGAAGGGGCTCTGGATCCTCCTCCATCCCTGTACCCGCCTCTTCCCCTTTGATTTCCACCTTCTAGATCTTTCCCCCCATCCAGCCCACCTCCAGGCTGGGGAAGGTGAGGAATTCTTTCCTCCCACACCCTACCCCACCTCACCTGCGCCTCCGCCCTG